GGCCAGGTTGGTGTCTGGGAAAAAAAGAGGGAGGGAGGAAGGAAGGGAAGGATCATGATGCCCATGTCTGAGACAAACAATACAAAAATGTACAACTAATCACCATAATTCTGTGGCTAGTCTTCAACCTCTAGACTGTGTTATTTGGTCATGCATTCTTGATTATGTAGACAGTATGATTACTTAAACATATAAGTAATAACATGTACCATAAGAATATAAAACTAAAAATAGAACAATAGATGCAGGTGAACGTGGACAGTCATTAGACATGGTAGGAATATCAGCACATTTTTTTTCCTATACCATAGTTAATGTGACAGATTATTGACATATTTGTTGTAGAAAATTAGGTTTGACTTCAGAGGAGTAGGTATGTCTAAAGAAGTAGTCATGAGGAAGGTGAGAAAAACAATAAGAAGTAACCCAGGTCCGTCGTGATGAGGGTGGATAGATGGAGTCTAAAAAAGATGGACTCCTCTTTCCAAAGCTACAGCTGGCTAATTCAGAATATGCAACTTTAAAAAATTAAGGTTGACCACTGTAAGGTCAGGAGAAAGTTAAAATGTAATTTTGAAACTGTCTCCCACTCTTTCATTGAAAAAAATTTCACACCGTTCATAGTTCTAAAAAATTATCTTCTCATATAGTCATTTAAATTTTTAACTTAGCCATTAATTGTGAGCTTCAATGATTTTATGCAATTAAGAAAAATCTAAAAGATGTACCATTTAAAATTAGAATCTGATAAAGATTTGTGATGAATTCACCTCTTTCCCCTATTTTTGTCCTTGACATCCACTTGGGTTTACTGTCTTCCCATTGAACTTTGTCCTTCCTCCTCAGCTTTCCTCAACTGGGACATATTGAGATTTGAAAATATGTGTGAAGAACGTTCCTCTGTGTGATCTTTCTCTCTTCTTCCTCAGTCTCTTCTGCCTGCTGATGCTAAAGAGCCATTCCGTAAATCACTGGATTTCTTACAAGCCATGAACAAAAATCGTGTTCATTAAAACTTAAGTATAAATGAATCTCTAGAGTTGAGCTAATTGAATTCTTCTTCTGCAACATGGGAATATAGCAAAATAACTCAAAGTTGGCTAGCATTTTATAATCCATGTTTTGATGATAGTTTAAGAGGCTCCGTCCGTCCAAGTTTGGGTTAGAAAAAGAGATGAAGTATGGAAACACTGTCAGAAGCCTTTTCTGTTTACACAAAGATCCAGGGATACCATGAGTAATGCCAGAAATCTCATGTGACAGCCAGCTCTTGTGGGATTTTTTGAGCTCACCAAGTTCAGGAAATAGACAGTTCCAGAAAGCTGATTGGAGTTCAAAGATTTTTTTAAAAAAATTAACTGAAGTGAATAATTGTGTTCTCTGTCCATTGTCCAGCACTGCTGCTGGGACCTGTGCTCTGCTCTCCCCGGGGCTAGGTAATATCGGGCACTCAATAAATACTTTCTGATTTAAATCGCCTGCTTAATGAGTGTTTTCTCCGGAATCTCCCAAAGTGAATCTCTTAGAGGTTTTGTACAGTTATTTATTTCCATGGGAAGTGAGAAATTTACCTGGAGTTTCAGGACTGCGAGTGACCTCATAAGGACCTTCATTTCATTTCCTCTCTTTCAAGGATTGTTTTTTATCCATTCCAGATAGGAGAGAATTTGTCCTCCATTAAAGATCTTTCCAGAGGGAATTCCACAGCCTCCCATTAAAATGTTTAACAACTCTCCCTGCCCTGAAAGTCTTCTTATATCTAGTATAAATCCCTTCTGTTGTTAGGTTTAATTGTCAAATCGGCCAGAATCCACGCTCGGTAATTAAACCTCTTCTTTCTGTTTTCTGTATAGTCACATTTCTCAAGCTTTTGCAGGTTTCTTTTCAAATTAAAAAATCTTTTAAAAGTCCTTTCTGTTGGTTTTGTCTATACTCTATCTAACTGAAACCACTTCTTTCCTCTTTTGTAGGAGAAAATATGCTAATATTGAGGTAGTGATGGTAGGTCCATATATTTGAGTGGCTTTACCAAGCTCCATGGATTTCTCCATCAGGTTTTTCAACTCTCTCTTATTAACAGTTAATAAAATAGTTCATGGATGGTTTGGAAGAGGAATATTGCCTGTCTGAGATAGTATAACATATCGTATACCTAAAAAAAAAAAAAAAAAGTTTGAAAAGGAAAAGTAAATGATATAAAATGGGCTAAAAAATCTTCCCATTTAGGGACAGAGCTGCTTCTTCTCCCAGTGGATGCGTAATATATTATTTATGTAAGAGTGAGCATCATGCTTTTGGCTCACATTCCATTTGGAGCATATACAGTATGACAGTTTCCTTGGCTTATTGTTGTATACATGGCTATCTATTTTTAATACATTGCTTTTGTCTTTTTTCATGCTTGCTTACATCTGTTGTTATGAAAACTGACATAAAGTTTTTAAACATAAAAGAAGTGATGGAGAAAGAGATGGTAGGAGACAAACAACATTTCAAAAGAATGCAAGATGGAGAAACAGGAGCAAAGTCTCCGTGGAGAGAACCAGAAGCAGCCTCTGCAGGATAAATGGCAGGGTGGGTCAGAACAGATTGCTGTAGTCACAGAGAAAAAATGGTCATGAGGCTCCAGAAAGCATTTCTATGTTAGAAGGAGTGTAGTTTGTTTTCCATCAAATTGTTTAAACTTTTTAAGCTGCAGTTTTCAAATCAGTGAAGTGGGGAAAACCCCCACTTTGAAAGGTTGCCAGGATTCCATGAGTAATGTATATAAGGGGTTCAGCCTTTTGCTTGGTAAGTAGCTCAATACATAATACAGACTCAGGGGTTAACAAACTACGGCTGGAAGGTCGAATCCAGCCCATGTCCTGTTGGTTTTTTTTTTTTTTAAATAAAGTTTTATTGGAACATAGGCAGGCACATTCATTTATGTATTGTTTGCGGCTGTTTTTATACTTCCATAACAGAACTGAGTAATTTTGACAGTGACCAAATGGCCAGCGTGCCTAAACTATCTGACTGTAGAAAAGTTCACCATTCCCTTGTATATAAATAACTATTATGACAACTCTTTAGTAATATACATTATTCTACAGACTTGAATGATTTCCCAGTTCAATTTTCTGTCTGCATCACAATAATACCTGTTGATTACCACTCTTTTGCCAAGGTTCTAGTTTTCCTCTTATAACAACCCAAAAGTCTGCCCGTTTTCCTTGTTCAACAATGTAGCATTAAATGGTTAATTGGTTCATTTCACCACCAGGTGGCCTCCTCTGCTCTATTGTGCTTGTGGGACCCAAAGGAAAGCAGAAAATGGATCTAATGCACTTCTTTCAACTTTGGCTGTGATTCTGCTCTTATTAGCACTTCTCCGGTGGCTTTGCTGTTATGAAATGACTATTTTATGTTTGATCCTGAAACATAAATTCACACTGATTTAGAAAATGAGTTCTAAATCGGAGATAGAAACAGTTAAAACAGTAAAAACAAAATAAAAAAATATTTAAATGTGGACTCAAACCTACATCATAGTGGTTTTTAGAAAAAGGAGTTTGGGTATCATGTAAGAGGTTTACCATGACTCAGTATTATTCTCAGCTGTGTCCTAGCAGGATTGACTAATCTTGAAGCTTCCACAGGAAAAACAAAGGCCATGCCCCTCAGGGATCCCTATGTTAATTTCTCTTGAAGAGCATGGGTGAACTTCAGATCAGTACTCCAGTTTCTTTATGTTTTTTTTTATTCTCTAGATTCTCCTTTTGAATTTTCTTTTATCTTATTTGTGAGCTTTGCTAAAGACCAGTGCCATGTGAGGAAGATTAGAAAGCTGTGTGATAAAGTGCTGGAGAAGGAGGCTGGATTCTCCTTGGGCAATGACTCTTATCCTCTCAGATTTTGTTTTCTTCATCTATAAAGCGGAGGATGGACTGGGTGGCTTAGAGGTCCGTTCCAACTTCAATATTGCCTCACTGGTGAGAAATCAAAGATAATTCCAATTAGTAGTTGATTTGGCTAGGAACCATCTGGCAAAAACCAGAACTATAGGAACTCGATTTCAAAGGCTACAGAAACAAACTCATGGGTAAATATAATTTTGTGGCAAAGTACCATAAAAAGCGTATAGTTTCCAAATGCCACATTATTTTTAGTTCATTTCAGGTAGTAGTAGTAAATGCAAATTTTATGAGCCTTCTTAGACCCTTTCCTTTACTTTTTACTTTTATTCAGTAGTAGATAACTCTTGAGTTGGATTCTGAACAGTGTCTTGCTAAATCTGTCACAGAAATTTAGCTTTCTCTTTGACGTCTTATTTTCTACACATTTTAATTTTCCTACCTTTTTCTTTGGACAGAATGATCAAATCCTCCTCAAATTTCTTTGCAGCATAGAACAGATATATTCACTTTTATTTCCATTGAAAATGGGTCATTTTATATGGTACAAACAACCTGTTCTTACCTTCTGCTTGAGTTGCGATATGCACATCACTGGTTTGTATTTGAATTGTCACATTGGATGTCATGGCAAATACTGCTAAAGGCATTTAACTGTCTATGAGGAAAGGACTAGAATTGTCCCTAGGGCATTTTTGGTAAAGAACAGGCTCATGTTTGAATTCAGAGTTACCCTGGGAGACCTAGTGACAGGCAATCTCTCTGATTCCAAATTCCCTACTGGGGCTACTTCTCTGGAGAGCTATCTGGTTAAAGGCAGATTCATACGTGCTTGAGGAAAAATTGATTACAAGTTTTTTCCCACTTTGCAAACTACACTAATTAGTATCAAGCTCAACTAATAATTTATGAAATTTGCATTGCTTTCTATTTGCCTAAGCACAAATATTTCCTACCATATATATTTTCAAATATATATTCATATGTCTCATGTTCATGTCTAACACATATTAGGAATGAACGGTCTAATAATTTCACCTTTCCTTTAGAAGTCAGGAAAAGTGAGAAGAAATGAAGATGTCTGGTATTAGGCAATAAACATCCGTTTGGGTTACTATATGCTCTGAAAAACAAAATAAAAAGAAGGCTATCCTTTTCCTTTAGTAATTTATAACCCATTTGGAAAAGCAAAACCAAAAAACATGAAATAATAGCAAAGATAGCAAATATGTGTGGTAGCAAAAAAAAAAAAATGCTGGTCTTCTTTGGATGTCTTCATAAGAAGAAATGATATTTGAACTGGACCTCACTGAATTTAAATAAGTGGAATAAAGATACGAAGATAGGTACGTTGCAGAGGAATACATCATAGGGTGGGGGGAACTCTCAGATCTAGGATTTAGTTTGATAAATGACTAGTACTTTATCCAAATCAGGAAGATACACTGGGGAAGAGGAGCAAATCAGCAGCACCTCCTAATAGCTTTCATCCATGTGTTCAGTGCAAGTCAGCAAAAGGCAAGATTGTTTTCCATTGAACATTGAGTCCTAGATTCGATGTTTTATGTAGTGAAGGGAAATTATATACATAAATATACAAACTAATGGCATAAAAGAGACGAGAAAAGTTAGGCCAAAGGTCATATTTTCTTAGCAGGCATGATTTGGATCAAGTTTGAACAAACAGTTGTACCTAGTGCTTATTATGTAACAGGAGTTGTTCTAGGATCTTTGCATGTATTAGTGCATTCAATCCTCACAGTAACCTTGTGAAAGTGGTATTAATATTATCCCCCGATGAGCAACTAAGGCACAGGGAAGGGCAAAGCGAGTAAGCAATGCAAACGAAGCTTAAAAATAGGCAAACTGATTACGGGCTTATATTTTATTTTCATTTATTTATTTATTTGTGCCAAACTCCTTGAATCTCATTGATTAACAAAATGCATGGCATGGGTCCTTTTCTGTCACCATGTTTATAGAACCTAGTGATCAAATGGTTATGTGTGTGTAGGTTTTGAGAAGTAGTGTTACTAGGTATTACCAGCATGTTCCCTCCTCCCTTCATTAAGTGGGGAGAGAAATAGTAACACTTTGTTGATATATTTTCTAAAAGACGAAGACTATGTATATATAGCTCATATATATGTATTATATATAAATATTGTTTACCTTTTCAGTGTCTCCTCTCCATTGTGACCTATTTTATTATCTAATGTGGATAGTAGTTACAATACCTTATTTCTAAGATGGTTAATGAAAAGAAATGGGAATTACAAGTCATATGTATTAAAGTTGTATGTTACAAGTCATATTACAAGTCATATGTATTAAAATCTAAGACTTTGTTTTAAAACGGCACATCTTCCATAGAGATCTGAAATTTCACACAAACAAGATCTGTTTATTTCTTAAAACGTCTGTGGTGGGTAAGTGGTGAGGATATCCATTGTCCCTGATTTACAGATGGGACCACAAAAATAAGAAATAACTTCCCTCAACAGAGCAAGCCACCAATAGAGCAAAAGCAGAAGGAATAGCCGCAGAGAAAATGGTGCCCATTGAGGGGCTCCCTGCTGATGTGCTTAGAGAAAATCCTCCCAATCACAAAGTTTGTACCTATTTCGTCTTGAGAAGTTATCCAGTGTTATGGCTAAAAGCTGCACTGAATGGCCACATCCTGGTACTTTTGGGTTTTTTTGTTTCAATCTCCACTTACTGAATTTTTGCGGCTCTTACAGTAATTTTTAAGTTGTCAGTATCATCTTCTTTCATCCAATTATTTCAGGGGACCCATTCACTGAAAACCTTCTCTCTAGCTGTGATCTCCTTCCTCTTCTGCAACATTCTCTACTTTTAGGTAGTTTTTATGGTTTATTCTCTGTGGACTAGTTATTGTTTCCCCTATCTGGTGAAACTTTTGTAATTTCCCCTATTTCCTTATTACTTTCTCTCCATCCGTCTGTGTATTTCTTTCATTTTGTCCTTTAAATCTTTACGCCTTCCTCTTTCTTACTTTTATCACTCTTGTGATTGGACAAACATACACACACACACACACTCACACACTGTGTTTCTCTTTGATGGAGCTATTCTAATAAATGTCTTTGAATGTTTATGGCAGACTCCCTTACATAGCTGGAAAAATGCTCAAAAGTTCTTATCATAACCACTGTTTGGTCTTTATAGTCTTAGTTTATGCTAATACATTTTCACCTGTACCCTAGATCTTCTTTAAACTGTGAGCCATCATTCTTCTGAACAACAGGTGTGACTATCACTGAGAGCCTATCTGCCCTTTTAGCCTCAACTTCATGCTACTAAAAATTTGTGGAGGCTTGGAGGATGAATTTAGATCAAAATTAATCTGGCCATCGAAGCTCCAAGGGTGGGGTTCTCAAGTGCGTTTTGACTACTCTGAAGTCCGTTTGAATGACATTCTTGGCCTTATTTATTTACCTTATACTCCTAAGGCCTACCAATTTTCTCAGAATTCTGGATGGATTTCTAAAGATGCTTTTTCAAGAATGACAGCATGACATAGCAAACTAAGCTGAAATTCCTCCTGAAAGTTCTGTTTCTGAGTTTTAGTGATGTCTTACTGACCTTGGGCAAGTCACTTAGCTTCTATGTATCAATTTCCAATCTGTAAGACAGAAGCGATATTACTGACTTTCCCCATGGGCTTGCCATAGGAGAACAAAAAAGAAAACAATCCATTGAAATGACAGTCGGACTTTCTGATGCTGGAACAATAAACAGTGCTTAAAGCCTGAAATCTCTAAGATTTATTTTCTGAAGCTCTCTCTCTAGTAAATATGGACATGTACCCTCCAAGAAACCAAAAAAAAAAAAAAAAAAAAAGAAAGAAAGAAAAAGAGGCTAGAACAGAAAGGTTTTAAAATCCATAGTATATTGCTGTTGGAATTGGAAATTGGACCCACGTCTTGCATCTTGGTCAAATATTATTGCTCTGAGAAAACACTGAATTTCTAAAAGGTGTCCTTAAATATTTAAAAGGTTTCTGTCACCTTCCTCTTTTCTTTGATACATTTCTATAGAAGCTTTTCTTGGGTTAACTATTCCAGGCCATGGGAAACAATTAACTTTATTCACCGTTTCTGTCTAAAAATTGAGAATAATATTTATGTGTTGGAGATTGTGATCAAATAGTTTTTCTCTGAACATACGAAGTTCAGAGATAAATGGAGGCAATCACATGCTACTCATTTCTGTATACTAATATAGTATATCTGACATATATTTCAACTGCTGATACAGGCTTACTTGGTCTTTTGTTTGGAAGAAATTCAAATGAATAAATATTTTCCAACTTCCACAGCTAACCCATAATGCTAAGAGTTGTTATGGATAAAGGGTGAACAACACACAATCCCTGACCATATACCCCCATTGTAGGAACTTATAATCTAATTCTGAAACTACATTCATCCTTATCTGAAGTGAAGGTACCAGAGTACCCTCAAAAAGTGGCCTAAGGCATCAAATATTTTATAATTCAGGGATTTGGGTGGTCACCAAGAAAAATTCCATGGCATTTTGGTTCTATTAAGATTATAGATGTAAGAACCCTTTAAAAAGTCAGAAATACACTACAAAGGAAAAAGCCTTGATGTGAATATATAATGGTATCATGGCATTTCCATTGTGTTTTGGTAGTGGACAACTCTGGAAATGCTTTGATCGGCTCTGTCTTAAAACCTAAGACGTGGTGAGTTCTGGATAATCATGGTGAGTTTCTCAGTGCTGGTGTCCATAGACCCTGAAGAATGCCCACGTGCACTAAACTTGATAAGATAGCTTTTGATAATGACATTATGGGGGGAAGGGTAGTGCTTTCAGCCTTCATTTAGACCACTGATTCTCGGATTGCCGAAGTCACCGTGTTCTGCAGCAATCTTTTTGATAATGGCTGCAGCGCTCTACCTCTCATTTTTCTTGTCATCCTCAAAGAGAAAGCAAGATACTCTCCTTGAAGAAACATTATCAACAGCATTAACATGAGAAATATATAGTCTCTTCCTTATGAAATTAATTTGGCATTATTTTTGAGGTGTGCAACATCTTGGCAACTGCTTTGGTTTAAAACTCTGTGATTTGGGAAAAGCACGTTTCAGAATGTTTAATTCAGCGATACAAAAGGCACTAATGAAATATGCATGTATGAATTTTATATCATATTAGTTCCCTCTTTCTTGAAATCTGAATAAAAGCCAAACATCTGGATTACGTTTGAAAAGCCTGAATTTCCAATTTTCAGAGAGATTCAATCTATTTTGACATTGCACACTTAGCCTTAACATTTACAGTGTGCTATTAACATTACTTGCAATTGAAAAAAAAAAAGTCCAGATTTAAACAAACTTGGTGCCTCCTAATGCTAAAAATACATCTATATTTGAAATGGCTGCTGCTGCACAACTGTATATGTTCATGGTTTAGGCTTCATCAGCATTTCTATTATAAATACTTGCATTGAAGAAGCCTATAATTCAGCTATACAGATACGGGGTAAGCTTTGATATATAAATTCTCCCATGGTTGTATATTAAAACAACAAACAGCAATTCATATAATGCTTAGTTTGAAAAAGTACTCATTGATTCAGTGTTTACTGAAGACCTCAAATATTCAAGGTACTCCATGACTGGCCAGAAATAGAATAGCCCTCATCCTTTGAGAGTTTATTCTTCAAATATAAGATAGATAATAAGATTTCTGTTTTTATACATGTTTGGGCATATTTTGGCAACAAGGCTATAAAGGCAAGTGTATATTTATGGTCATAATTTAGGGAAGTAAATAGGGATATCAATGCTTTATTTCATTTCATGATCAGAGTTTATCTAAGATACAGCTGATCAAGTTTTAAGGGGTAAAGTAAGAAGTTCCGTGTCTACACAAGCGATCAAGGAGAAGAGAAGAATGTGACACTGTCTTTGAAGTTTGCATAATAGTAAGCCTTCAGTGGACTTTAATGTACTACACTCAGATTTTTACGGGATTTCTTGTAGTATATTGTAGGTAAATCGCATTCTTCCTGTGACATGTGGGAACAGCTAAAGTCAGGAATTTCCTTTTTCTCATCTTATTTTGCTTTATTTAAAAAAAAATTCAACAGATTATAAAGTAGTGCACAATGAAACAAAAATAGATGTGTTTCAAGGCATTTGTTTAGGTCAGAGGATGGAAAGCAGAAGAAATAATACTTTTAAATTGGAAACTTTTTTAAAGGAGAAAACTGAGTTTCCATTACATTAATTGCTGCTCCTTGTGTCTTTTTTCCATCCTACATTACGTACTCCAACAGATATTACATAATTGCATAACTATTCTTACTATGTGCTGACATGACATTACGACAGCCCTGATATGGTGCATCATAATGAAACCGTAATTAGAACAGTCATGATGTATTATGGCAATGATCCACATCGTCACTGAAGTGCATTGGAATGCACAGAAAACCCATTGAGATGTGCAGATTTTCAACATAATATAGCACAACCATGAAGTTTCATAGCATGGAGGAGAAATTGCCATTATGCCCACACTGCTGGCAGCAGGGGTTATAACACATTTCTTCAATCTGTTGGGGAAAGTTCTGTATTGATGGAAGAAAATTTTTGAGAGTACCATTTGTGAAGTTTATATCTTTAAAACAAATCTACAGGAAAGACCTTGTTGAAATATGGACTTAACTGCATAAATTCTATTGAAGTTTCCCATAAAATATTTACCAAAAAAAGGACCCAAAAGGTTTCATTTACTATCTCAAATTCAATGAAATGCTTTTCTATGGAAGTACAGATTGAAGATGATTTGAGGATTTTCATTTAACATTACCTTTTCTTCGGATTTTCCGTGTCCCTTCTTGAGCTCTGATTGAATAGCTTATGTTTTATGTGGTTGTATCTCTGCTCCCTTGTTGTTCTCCTAGTTTTCTCTACATGTGAATCTTATATGTGAGTCTTGTTCTAGTAAGTGTTGCCTTCTCCTTACCTTGGTGTGTTTTGGTCTTGACATCCCTCCTATACACAGAATAATATCATCATGATGGTTGATTTGGCAATGTGAAGAACGAGATCAACTTTGTAAAATAGAGAGGAACTTTAGACTTTATTTTCTAGGCCAGCCCTCATTCAGTGCCTCATTATGTCATAAAATCTCCCTATCAAGTACACTTCTGGTCTCTACCTGCATACCCATGGTAAGTGGGAACTCCCCATCACCCAAGCTCCACTCCTACTTATTCTTCAGCCTTTGATCCCATGCCTGACCTCTGAGACCAGATGAAAGAAATTAATATTCTTCTATTGAAAGCCCTCTAATTTTCTAAGTCTACTAACTTGTCCTTCCCTCTCTTCTCTCATCTTCAACTCTTACTTACCCTTGGCTGAATATTTTCAGCTCCTTCAACAGCTTGCTCCTCAGAGAAGCATTGAATATTCTGCCTTCTTTGAGTGCTCTCCTTTGGACATTTTAGACATTGTCTAAGCCCTGCTTGGAAAATGAAACCCAACCAGAACCAGGACTTCAGTTTTGAGCTTAGTAAGTCACCATCAAACTGATCTGTTGCTTTTCTTATTTATTTATAACCCTATGTTTGTCTCAGTCCAGCCCCAGATCATACTTCCTTTTTTATATTTACCTTCCACTGTCTGTTGACTCATTGAATCTAAAGACAGTTGAAACCTCCTTACTTGTATTGTTTATGCAGTTTTTGTATTTTTATTTTTTAATGGTGGGAGGTTATTATCTCAGGCTTGACTTGTCTCATATCTCCCATTTAGATTTAATCTACTATGCTAGCATGTTGTGTTCCCTTTGGAGTACAGTATCATCATAAATAAACATTGTGAAGCAGTTGCCTATGAATCGGATCCCACTCAGAGACACAGTTTGGCCTGTACAGTGTTAAAAAGTTTTAATTCAATGTATAAAAATGAGATTTCACATGAAAATATATATTTCTGTCTTCTCTTAAACATATATCCCTGTTCATACAGAAGCCACCTTGAAGCCATATTCTCAACATAGGAACAGTTGGCAGAGCTGGGTAGTGGTTGCCCCTTTTGGATGGAACTTGTGTTTTCCTACCCCCCACAATCCACACTACTTCTTCCTTTTTCCCCTTCCCTGGGATCAGATGTTAGTAATCCTCATATTTTTGCATTGTTTTTATTTTAGTAGAGAAAATAGCTCTCTTTTTCCAAGACATTAGCAACAATTAGAGTATGAAAGAAGATGACTTATCTGTGCTCAACTCACCTTCTTTCCACCAGCTGCCGGGCCAGTAGGGTACTGGATCTAGCTAGTACTGGGTCAGAAGAACTGATTGTTAAATATTAAAGAATTTTGTTGGCAGTAGCAACCTTTGGTAGTTTGGAATTTGCCATGGTGGGAGTATTTATACCAGGGAAATCAGCAAACCCTACAAATCAGGGCTTTTTTTTTTCTTTTTCTTTTCCCCGCAGAGAGCCAGTTTGCAAGTATACCACTATGTTGTGTGTATTTGAATTCCTGCTCTCTGAACTAAAATATTTATTATTCTTTATTGATCATTGAGATTAGTATAATCTGGCATTCCAATCAACATGCCATAAACATATTTTACTTCTATGTATCATTAATAAAAATATCGAATAAGACTATACCGAAAAAGAGCCCTGTGGTGTAACATACCCATGAAACCATCATCTTTACATAAGTTGTTCAACAGGTTCTCAGGAAAATGTGTACTTCTGTGCTACTAAATGATTGCATCCTTCTGCTCACTTTATGCTTATGAAAATCGAATATACCTGATCTAGGAATTCACATCCTTGCTGTAGGGATTTAAGTCATTAGATTTTGGGTGTCTGTTCTTAGTAATTTAATTATGTTTAAAATCTGGTTAGTAGTGTAGTAAATAACTGGTATTGCTACAAAATTGCATTGAGAAGGTAATAGGATTGAATTTCTACACAAGTTGACAGTCAATTAAAATTTCCATATATCGAATGAGTTAGCCAGTTCTTGGCCGAGGAGCTAGAACAAATGCCTCCCTCCTAAGCTGATCACTTCAAAACAGGCAAAATTTATAATAAAGTCAAATCAAGACTCAGTGCATCAACTAAAACATGAGCTTGGCTTATCAAATACAGATCAAAAGCAAGAGATGGACTAGAGAGCACCCACAGTATTTCTTCCCTAAATTCCTCTATTTTTTTATTGTCACTGGAGGAAAAATAACACATTAAAACCTCCTTACTGAATTACTGTCCTAAACCAATAGATCCATGGGGCTTGTTCAGCTAAAAACCACAACAGACTTTGTAATGCAGTGATGTAATCTTGGCTTTGTGTCATTTATATTCAACCTAAAAAAAAAAACAAAAAACAATTTTCCTGAATAGACAGGCTGACAACAATATTGTTCGGTGTGGGTTTTTATTTGGATTCTTTCCAAATGGTTCACATGCCTTCACAGTAACACATCATGCTTGCTTACGTTTTTTGCCTGAATTCCAAAGTTTGCCCCTTTTACTAGCTTTCTATTTTTCTTTTAAGGTCTCAGTTATGTTTGTAAAACTAACCAGCTCCACCACAAAATTAGGATGTATCTTGCAGAGTGCATTCATTTTACTTTTTGCATATTTTTCCCGAGGTCATGTCAAGGTTAGTTTGAATTCCATCCTACATTAAGACTTCTTTCACAGCTATTTAGCTCGGCAGCCTACTCCCCGCTGGGGTCTGCCCCTTGGGCACGTCAAAGCTTCAGACCTGACAAATCACACACAGATGAAGCTGTACAGTTTTTTAAATAGTTTCATCAGTAACTTTTTTTTCTTTTTCACTATCCTCCTTCATATTGAGATTTTTTCCCTCTGAGTTACCATTTAAGGAATTTTAAATTCTATTTGAAACATTTTGTTTTCCCTCAGAATTGCAAACCAGCAATATCATTTATTTTCTAGTAAATCATACTAATAGCCCTCCTAGTCACCAAGACTACAGACCGAAAGACCCGCTCACTGTTTCTGACTAGTATAACTGTAATTCCATTGTTAAAAATCTATTTGTAGCAGGAAGCTTAGTGTTAGAAAGATGGTTACATCTACCAGAATCAGGAAAAAAAAAAAAATGTCAACCTTAAAAATGCATGGAGTTTATGACATATTATGGGTTGAGCCTGAAAATGTTTCTCACATGGTTCGTAATATGCTCTTATCAGTATTTTAGCAAATTGTGAAACTAATGGTGCAACTCCATTTCCTGTTTAATTGATGAAGTTAAAATGCTTGGTTGCTAATGAGTGTATTAGCAAACAATGTCCCCTCGACAGGCTTAAGTAGATCAGGATTTTTTTTAAAGCAGCTTACAGTCCTTATTTTTATATAACGAAAAAAATTGGCTGCCACAAAATTGCTAGATCAACTGAAGAAATGGTGTAATTATTGCCGTATAGTCATTTTGGCAATGTCAAACGGCCAGATTATAGTTTTCTAGCTCTCACACTAGAAAATAGTTATTTTCTTTTACAAACCATAGGCTTTTCCTACATTTTCACTCAGGACAAACAATTCCTGAAGATCTTAACTGCAGACTAAGCAGAAAACTTAGAAGTGAGAAGAAAAAATAATATTTGAATGATTCTCCTCTCTTTGGTCCTCTTTTACAGTTAGCTCAGTATGAAAGTACCCAGCGAAGGGGTCCATAAAGGTTGCCTGGTTGAAACTAATTAAAGACAGGTCTAAATAGAAAAAGAAAAGAAAAGGGGATCAAAGGAATTACATTAGGTGTCAGGATGTTGTTTGGGGACATTTTATTTAGGTTTTTGTAATTCTGTTCCAGGCAAAAGCTAAATTCTAAAAATGTCCATTTTTTGCCATAATCCCACATTTGCGTTATTTTTGCAATAAGATACGTGTCAACAGGCAAACATCTTGAAGAAATCATTTCGGCATTGGCGCATTAACACATTATGGTGAAAAGAGAGGCTTGTGCTTTTCACGCAGTGCATTTCAGTCTTCAATTAATGTGAAAGCACTACAATGCCTATGCAACTTCTCTTGCCTAGTGGTGCACCATTTATCATTGCAGTTTTACATTGACCTTGACACCCACTTCATTAGAATAAAGATTGTCTACCATTTAGGTTACATTGTTCCTCTGCACAGAGACCCCATGCAAATTTCTGTTCAGATAGAAGAGCTGCGAGGCTGTCAGAGGTCATCTGCATTAAATGATTGCTGCTATTTTCCAACTGCTTCTTTTCATTCTACTCAATTCAGGCTAGGAGGATCAATCAAGTCCTCTGCCTGAAACAGTGGGACTGCTGGGAATATAACTGTTTTGGGTAGTAGTGGATATGCCCTAAACAGTATTAAATATTTAATATAAACTCATTAAAGGCCATGCAAAGGCTTCAGAAAGATAGCAGATTTATAGGGAAATCGGAGGGACTAGAGAACTTTTAAAAAATAAATAAAAGAATAATAATCAATTTTATAATTTTTGAGAGTAAGATTACAATAGTTCCAGGAACTTAGTTAGATCTTCTCTGTAGAGACTTCTTTCTGACCCTTGACATAGGTGGGGAAGGGACAAGACAGGCAGGCGCTGGGGGTTCTTATGCAGTATTTTACATGAAATCAGAATGAAAAGATTTCAGTTCTTGGTGTTTTTATTTTTCTTCTATAACAATGAATTTTGCCCTGGGTATTTATTTTCAAAGGCTTAGGTATTTGTTATGTAAAAGAAATGGTTGGAGAAATAAGTTGCCAGGTTTCCTACTTAAGTTTTCTGAGTGATATAATTGGAATTAAATTATTAATGGGAGATACTTTAAAAAAGATTGTTTTATGATCTTCTATTAGGGAATTTGCAATTCATTTTAATATTTGTAGTTTGATTTATATTAAAGATAATGCAATCTATGTCCAATTAACAATACATGGCCAATGTAATGTGATTTCCAGATCATGCAAATGGAATAAGCTGGAAGAGGGGGTAAAACTCAATTCTTAACCTCAGATGTAATTTGCTGTGTGAGTTCTGGCAATTTTAAATGACATTGCACTTTTTAATTTTTCCAAAGGCTCAGCAGCAAATTTATCCCAATCAAGAAAGCCTATTATTAATTTACAAGGACAATTGTAGGAGTCTTTATAATTTCACTGTGCGATTATTCGCCATAAATTGCTAATGGCAAAATACAAAGAGTTTGCAAGAAATAACGACTATTATTTGTCTTGGGCTTGAGCCCTCTTCCATCTTGCACATCTTCCTGAAGTGTGGTGATATTGGCTCCATGTGAAACTCACGCGTTGTGAGGGGCTGGACACTGGTGTTCTGGAAAAGGGGGCAGCGCCTGAGCTGCTGCAGGGACGGCGCTGGCCTCTAGCAGATTCCTGTACTCGGGGGCATGTACAGCTGAGCTGTGGACCCTGGACTTTCATGTAAAAAGACTCTTTGTTTGCCACTGAATGGCATTAGGCATGGACTTGCTGAGGGGCCACCATGAAGCCTCGCATGAGGAGGGCAAACACTAGCCAGAAAGCACAATACGGGAGTCACAGACAGACGCATCTCTGTAGTTTTGTGCAAAAATGAGCATTTTCACGTATAGTTTTACCAGTAGTTTGGCGTTCTGGTGTATTCCTAACATATGCTTTCTGGTAAATAGGCTAAAATACAATTTTTCCCCCTTGCTGTATTTTCTCTATCTTTCTGTTGTGAGTTTTCGAGAAAAGGGGATTATGCTGGATACACAGGTGTTTGTGGTATTACTTTGCCCTGGGAAAGATACTCAAACTTGTTATTCTAATAACTAAATCATTCTCCTTGCCTTAACTCTTCCTAATAGAAAGTCACATAAAGCTCAAAAATATGGCTTAAGATGTAAATGCTCCAACCCTGAAGACGCAGACTTGGACAGCCCTATTCTAATAATCAAGAAAATTCTTTGGTTTAATTCTGTGTTTCTCGTAGCCCAAACTTCACTCTCTGCTCAGCAATGTCTGGTCTCTTTTCAGCATAACCAACAGAAGCACCATACAAAAGTCTTACAATGGATGTCTTAATCTCTCTGTGTGCTTTTAGAGCATTATTTTGAATTCCATCATGCTGCCTTTTTTCTTTCCTCTTCTGAAGTTTTATTACAACAGCAGAATTCCCAGGGAGCTTTGGGGGCAAGGTTCACATAATATAGCCCTGAAGTTTTGCTTAGGTGGAATCCATCCCCCCATCCTGGCCATCTTTTGATGATCTTTCTATTTCAAAAAGATTCACTGGGTAGAGTCTTATAGCATTGGCTGTATGTAGTTTATTTT